GGTTCAAACCCACCAGCCACTCCTCGGAAGGAAGGTTGGGCATTCCTACTTCCATAGTGATACTGCCTCGGAAACCCAAGGAGGGGTCGCTATGAGTCGGGTCTGACTTGATGGCACATAATAACAACAACAACATGTATGTGTATACGGAGCTCTGATGGCACAGTGCCTAAGGCATTTGGCTGCTAACCAGAAGGTTGGCGGCTCAAACCCACCAGCTGCTCTGCAGAAGGAAGATGGGCGATCTACTTCCGTAAAGATTTGTAGCCTCAGAAACCCAGTGGGGGTCGCTGTGAGTCGGAATCGCCGGGCGGCAGTGGGTCGGCTCTGGTTTACATCTGTGTGCATGTGTGTGCTCCGTACGTCAGACGATACGGTCATATGCTTGGATTTCGGTTCTAAAACAAAAATTTAACAGGATCCAAGTAAATAAAAAGAACCAGGAAATGGCATTAGCGGGAATTTATATTGTGGTGGAAATTTTAATAAAAGCCCTGAATCTTGTTGGGTTTTTCTAAAGCTTAAAAATTCCAAGATGCGTATTAAAAGGGTCTTTCTTTTTCCCAGATCAATCTGCGCCTCATCTTGGTGAGCGGGAAAACCAAAGAGTTCCTGTTTTCCCCCAACGACTCCGCGTCGGACATCGCCAAGCACGTGTACGACAACTGGCCGATGGGTGAGTGACGCTCCGCGGGGGAGTGAGCGCTGTTAGTCCGTGGAGGTCTGAGACAGTGACAGATGGTAAAGTGTTAGAGCGCAGACACAAGTAACTGAGGGCGCAGGGGACCAGGAGACCACTGTCACCTTCCCTGCCTTTCACCTCTGCCAGCCTCATTGCAAAATGCTGGTGAAAGTGGCCTGGTGACAAAACTCTGCTTTGAGCTCAGGACCGCTTTAGTGTAGATGAAAATAGGTACTTTCAGGAGCAGAACCCAAAGTCGTCGGTCCACGCACGTCCCAGCTGTGCCCTGTCTCTCTGCCGACACATGGGGCGGAGAGAAGGCAGGTGGCCTCAAACAGACGGCATCGCGGCCCCTCGGTCCGCTCTGCACGCAGCCTGTTTGACGCTGAATTTCCTGCCCAGTCGTTTCTAAGCCCGTGTCGATCCGATCGCCTCTGAACTGAAGGCCAGGAGCTGGAGAGCCCCCTCAGCGTCCCCACGGTCCAGCCAGCCAGCAGGTGTCCGTGGCACAGTTTTGGGGGCTGGGGGTGCACCTTCCTTTCTGGGGTTCTCTCCTGCGTGATGGCACAGTGCCTTGTCACCCCTTCAGTGACTCCTCAGCGCGGCTCTTCCTCGGAAGACACTGGTCGTGCGGGCTGAGCGCGGCTCGTTTCCCCGGCAGACGCCTTCTGCGTTATTACTGTTAAAGACTTGTTTCCACCAGGAGCACGGTGTGTGCTCAGACCGAGGCGTTGGGGCCAGTGCTCCTTAGCCTCCGTTACACACGGACGAAGCCCTTTTAGAGGCGGAAAGTAATGAGCGCTGACCTGAGCTACTTTTTGTCACAGTGTTGCTTGTTTTCAAATGCACACGCACACAGCCCCATCAGAGCTGTCCGTGCCCATACCTGGTGTGCAGTCATCAGACTGGAGCAGATCCGGAAAGAAGGTGCACCCAGGCCTGTGACGGCAGGGACAGTCACGTGAGCACCTGTGTGGAGGCGGGCTGCTGAAAGCACAGCACCACCGGCAACATGCATGTGGCGCTGAGTGTGGGGCCACGAGCATGGCGCCCTGCGTGTGGTAGTGTGCGTGTGGCGCCGTGTGTGTGGTAGTGTGCATGTGGTTCCATGCGTGTGGTGCCGTGTGTGTGGCGCTGTGCGTGTGGCGCCGTGCGTGTGGTAGTGTGCGTGTGGCGCCGTGCGTGTGGTAGTGTGTGGCGCCGTGCGTGTGGTAGTGTGCGTGTGGCGCCGTGCGTGTGGCGCTGTGCGTGTGGCGCCGTGCGTGTGGTAGTGTGCGTGTGGTGCCGTGCGTGTGGCGCCGTGCGTGTGGCGCCGTGCGTGTGGTAGTGTGCGTGTGGCGCCGTGCGTGTGGCGCCGTGCGTGTGGTAGTGTGCGTGTGGCGCCGTGCGTGTGGTAGTGTGCGTGTGGCGCCGTGCGTGTGGCGCCGTGCGTGTGATGCTGTGCACGTGGCCCCATGTACGTGGTACCATGTGCAGTACTATGCATGGCGCCGTGTGCGTGGCACTGCCGCCTCACCAGGACAGGCTTGCAGCCATCGGCAGAAATGCTCCAGGCAGATGCTTTCACTGCTTCAGCTAAACTATTGTTGGACTTAAGGAAGACCTTAGGGGATGTTTCGGTTTAAGGCTGAACCATTGTTTTAATGGCTCCTGACTTCACTAGGTGCCACAGGTTAGGCACAAGGTGACAGCAACCCACCCCCACCCCCAGTTTGTCTTTTCTGTTTCTGTAACTTCTAGCTTTCCTTTTCCATTTGTAGGTTACCTCCTGATGTATGTCATTTGGGGGTTTCCTCTGAGTCTTCATTTTGGGTAAAAGGAATTAAAGTTTGTCCTGTGTGACATTTACTGATCACCTTACAAGAGACGGTAAAGTCATAAATCCGTATTATGCACAAGTCAACACGTTTTTGGTTGTTCTAATGTCGGTCTGTTAATTCATTTCAGACTCTTCATTGAACCCATTATTTTCAGCCTTGAATGTGCATATTAAACAGGCACAAAGTTGGGACATTGTAGTCCCCTCTGTTAGTGGCAGGCCACTGGTTAAGGTATTCCCCTGCTATCCTAAAGGTTGGTGGTTCAAACCCACCAGCACCTCAGCAGGAAAAAGATGAGGCAGTCTGCTTCCTTACAGACTGACAGCCT